TACTTTGTCTTTCGATAATAAAAAATGGAGACTGAAGGGCATTTATACAATCAGTGGCTAAAAGTGTTGTCATTTCTTATGCCAGAAAATTTCATCTAGGTAAATACGCATGTGACAACAGTGTATTTCCTACGGACCTGATAACATCTAGCATGGTCCTAGTCACTGCTTTGCCGAGTTCCAGTGAGAGAATGAAAAGCTGATTTCCGTGGAACAAAAAAATGAAACATTCAGCGGGGGTGGACCGTCTAAGACAGAAAAAAAAGATAGCGAACATTTGTTTCGGCACAGCTCGTATTCACTCGTTTAGAAGATACGGAAAACCAGAATACCAGCTTGTGAATTCCGTGTTTAAGTGAAATTCAACTCTTGGATTAGAGTAAATTCGCGCCTAGAACGACTCACCAGTACGACCGATTCCAGCACTGCAATGGATGAGCAACGGGGCGAGCGCGTGTTCCCCGGTTCCCACGGTAGAGGCCGTATCGGTCCGGCCGGGCACACTGGATGAATTGTTCGGTGTCACCGAGCGAGACTGAATAAGTCGATTAACCGCGTCTAAGAATTGCAAGAATCCTTCCGGATCGGATGGGACATCGAAGTCCGGCCAGCCGAGATAAAGCAAATGATCGACCATGAACGACTCGCCAGAAGGTTGAGAGGAGCGCTGAACAAAAAACAAACAGGTGAGATGAAAAACGTGAAATGGACGTTGTCGGATATCCCATCGGAGTTGACAGTTGATCTGTATCTGAAAGCGCGCGCGCACACACACACAGCATTTCAGATTTCAGAACACAGTCCATTGTAGTTGGGCTTTTGTTCAAAAGAGGTATTAATCTCTCCGAAAGGGTAATGCATTATGTTCGAAGGTTTCGATTAACTGCTAGCGTCCCTTTAATTCTATAGGTCAATAACAACCATTTGCTGTGATTTGACTGGCCGTTTCGCTGTCATGGTGATCACAGCAAACGGTTGCTATTGAACAATGGGATGAACGGAACGCAAACAGCCAATCAGAAACCTCGAGCAGAACTACATAAGCCTGGTCACACCGAAGACTGGCGCTTACCCAGATTCGCACTGATGAGGTTGCCTAGCTTGGCTACAAAACATCTGCGAACAATACTCCACTACAATTCAATCCTCATTTTACTCTTCTATACACGTGAGTGAGCAAAAGATAGTAACCAAAACCGGCACACGAAAACGCAAGGTTAATGGTAGTAAAAATTGAAACCTTGGTCTGCGGACTTTGAACTTTCAATCAGAAAAATCGAATGATTTCAATTGAGCCTGCATATATCGGATCACCGAGTGGCATAACATCCTGCTTGCAATAGCTACAGCAATCAGACATTGTCTTTGTTAAAATGCCGTAAGAAAAGCTTCGTGCGTGTTTTTGGAAGTCATTGCCAAATGAGATGTTCGCGAAGAATCACGACTAGGTTTTGAGGGAAATTATAACCATTGTGGTAAAAAAAACTGGTCAATGAAAAAAACCTCAGGGGGGGTCTATTCCATCACTGCTCCCACAAATCTGACCAAGAAATGTAAGAAATGCACTCAAAGTCTACCGATTGCATAAATTTCTCACAGAAGGATCAAATCCGAAAAAGCCTGCTCACTGGAACGAACAGAGAAGAGAGTCAGATTGGGCTATCCAATGACAATCGCCTTGGTATTTACCTTCTATAGTGGCTGGCCGATAGCAATGAGTCCCCTTTGATC